CTTTGCTAGTTTCATGTATAGCAGTTTTTAGTATGCATTAATCTAATTCAGTGCAAGTGATCGAATTCGCTATATTATTTTCAATTAGATTGCTATTAACTAGTTACCTAATTATTAAAAATGATTAAAATTGATTTTTTTTTAATAATTTTTTCCATGTACAAATTAAGGAAGATATTTGGACAAGATTTCAACATGAGTGTACCGATAATATACTTTAAAAAGTATTTAATCATGAGATATCTATTTCATTCTTACTGTGTAAGAATTAATATTATCTAAACCACAACATGATCAACATGGAATGGCTTTGTAACTCCTAGTGTTTATATCAGTATAATGTAGATTTACAAATCCCTCATATTTATATCAACACCATCATAATATGGATTTAAAATCCGTGTTATTTTAAAATCCACATCATGTTGGTGTTAATATAAAATTATAAATCTATACCGCGCGAGCGATATATTTAGAGCGTACAAATTATTTTTCCTAGGAGAAAAGTTCCTTGTCCGACTATCTTATTTTTTAAATTTGCAAAATGTTAAACGCGCGTCTCTTTCAATAACAAAATTACCTGTTGGGAGTTATAAGAGTTGTGTTCCTTGGAAAATTATTGAGAACAAGGACTCTTTCTCTTCATGTTGTTGACGATGGAAAACGGAGTATAGATTGGGATCTGGATCTCGACGGCATTTTGGAGCAAGGAGTCTTCAATTCGAAGCAAGACGCGCTAAAACTCATGTTATGTTACGCATATGGATTAAAAATTAGAATTCAGCCAATTAGAACAAAACGAATTAAAATTATTTGACTGATCGAATTCTAATCTTCAATTCGTAATCTCGATCTCAAAGTTCGAGTCTACAATGAGTCGGTAGCCTCAGAAGCCTCTTGGCTGCTAACCAATTCTACCGATTCACCCGACTCGCCGATTATTCTTTAGACTAACTACAGATTACCAATTCATTGTAGACTTGATTTCCAAATGAATATGTAATGTAAATGTGGATTAAGCGAACATAAGTTCGCGAAAACAGAATACACATTGCACCGGTACGAATGCAACGGACGCGCGAGAAAATCCGTGAAGGATTAATGCTCCGTGCGGATGGGACAGAAAGCGAGGAAGCAGTAGAGGGCCGAGGCCCCTGAGGCCCCTGAAGCGAGAAGAGAATTGTGTGCGAGATACGCTCACCAAGCCAGGTTTCTTTCTTGCGTGTAACGTACTTAGTACTTACCTCGCGCAGAGTATATCACGCGCTAATCGCAGTTGTTCGCAGCGCCTCCGCTGGCCCACGAAGACGCGGGGCGCCTCTTCTCATCCGCGTCCGACGATGTTGCGTTGAGAGACTGACGACGTAGCCTCGCGCAACCGGAGAAACGTCCGACAGCGTTCAACGACGCATCGGCGACGGGCCGCCGTTCCGGGATGCATTATAGCGTGGCTTCTTCCTGCTCTTCTTGTCGTTCCGCTTCTCTTTTTCTCTTTTCTCTGTCTTTCTCTCGCTCCTCCGTCGAAGCACTTCGACACGAGTAGGGGGGAGAGGAGAGAGTGGGGTTGGAGAGGGGAGGAGAGAGGGGACAACCGAGGGAAGAGGGAGTCCTCAATTCTGTGACACTAGAGAGACCCGAAAGACGCACATGACGTAGCTAAGCTAACCGCTTCTCCCTGGCTCTACACGCAATCCCTCGTATCCCGGAAGGACGGCTACGTCGACCGTCGTCGTGGAGAAAACTGCGTTACGCGAAACGCGCGACTTCTCGGCACTGTGATTTATTAACGATGACGTATGAAATGACCGCGTTAATAACATGACCAGACTGGACTCCCTTCGATGGCTTGATTATTCCGAAGTCTCCGAACTCAGAAATCGGAATCCGAATGCGCGACGCGTTGCGCTGCGCGGCGCAGCCGAGAACGTCGTTGAGTCGTTCCCCCAACACAAATACCCGCTATTCATCCCGCTTCCAAGTTCCCAGTAAGTTTCCCTATAACTAGTGTTCCTATTGGTTGCGTTCAGTAGAAAAAGCAGCTTTGTAGCTATTATATTGTAAAATTATTTGATGTAATTAGTCTTGCCATTAGTTTCATACTGGATATAAATGTATAAATTAATCATATTAGGGCCACTTTCACCAAACTCCGATTAACTTAATGAGCCTAGTAACTTTGCAGGATTCCAACTGAAGCTGATGTCGAAGAAAAAATGTGAACTGAAGAGTTAAACATTTTCACTAATTATAATTAACTGTAATTTTACATATTGAATACAAAAATAGGTTATTAACAAACAGTTACTAGAGAGAAACCTTGCTACATAAGTTAGTATTAAGGCTTAAACGCAATAGGCATAGGAAATAAGGAATAACGAGCCATCCAATTAAAGCTCTGAGATATAATATCGAATTTACACTCCAGCTCTGAACAGCTCGTTATTCCTTGTTGCTTGTGCCTATTGTGTTTAAACCATTACAAATCTATATTTATAACTTCTCTCTTTGCATTTTTTCTCCGACATTAGTTTCAGTTGGAATCCTGCAAAGTTACTAGGCTTATTAAGTTAATCGGAGCTTGGTGAAAGTGGCCTTTAAAGAATCATATATAAAATTTCAAAATTTTTGCTGAACACAGTTATTGATTCCTAGAGAAACTTTTCTCTATGTTCATTTCCTTAGCTCGGATTTACAATAGATCTTTAAATCCTAAGTCATAAGAAATGGACGAATCACAATCATTTATTCTCCTCACATTCGATTACTGTAATCGGTTAATTTTTTACAGCTTAAGGCTTAAAACATCTAGTATTAGGTGTGGAAAAAAGTTCGTAGTATTTTTTTAATGCCATCTAATGGGAAAAACGCCATGAACTTTTACCTAATATATCCGAACTTAAAGACGACCAGTTTTACGGAAATTCATTTTTTACACCAAAATTTATCCAGAGCCGTCTTTAAAGGTGCTATTAGGCTGGAATCAGACTACGCATTGAAGAATGAGATTGAAGATTGAAGTTTGATCAATTAGAATAAAAGGAACCAAAATTTCTTTGTTCTTATTGGTGAAATTTCAATCTTTAATCATAATCTTCAATCATAATCTGATTCCGGCCTTAGTTCGGATTTACAATAGGTTTTAAGCCTTAAGCCTTAAGCCGTAAGAAATTGATCAATTCTCGAATGCAAAGGGAATAATTGATTGTGATTCGTCCATTTCTTATGGCTTAAGGCTTAAAAATATATTGTAGAGCAAACACTGAACTATATACATTGGAATGAGCACCGCTATGAAGCATAGAAAATCGTGGTACCAATTGATTAGCGCCATTTTAATTTGATCAAGATTTGGTATAAGAGCGAATCAGAAGCTTTCAGGTGCTCATGCGCACTTACGTTTAGTGTTCTTTAGTGAAACGCATATGTTAGCAAGATTATCGTGTGTGGGGTTGTATTTGAAAGATTATAAAATCGCATGACTGAAAATGTGCAAAGCATCAACATGAAATGCTGTATGCCTGGATGTGGACAGAGAAGTAGAAAGGGTATTTCATTTCATAGGTAAGAATTTTTGTATTAAATGTATCAATTCCTGCATATGTGTTAACGATATAGAATATGAAAAGTGTTATTAATGTTATTTAATTGAATGTACTAATAAAATTGAACATTATTTTTGTTTACATACCATTCATATGTGCATATAGATTTCCATCATCAATAGTACATCGATCGATTGCAGCACGCGCGAACGCTTCTAATTCGTTCAAATATCGTCCAATGGATGATATCACGAATTTTCTTCGATGTCCATTTCAATGGCTACGTTTAGCAAAACGTTTATTTTGCAACTGTTAAAAGTTTTCTTCGCACTGATTGGATTATGTTTTTAGATCAAGAGGAATGCTATCTCAGCAGAAAATCATAAAATGCAAAACTGTTGTATTCTGTTGAACGCAGCCATTATATATATAGGTCAATGGGAGCAAGCATCAAGCATCAAACATCTGCGCAGATTATATTGCAGATTATATTGCACAGAAGTGTTTGTTGAATCTCCAGATTCTTGCGTAATAATCTTCTGCACATAGCTTCTTGACGCAAAATGTAAATTATGGGGGATTATGATATACACTACTATTTTAACATATAATGATGAAAATTTATATTTATATTTCACATTATATAGTATAAACTACAAGATTCCACTATTATTAGTGTATCTCGTACAGCCAGTCACAGAAAGATTGCAATACTTTTTTTTCGATAGATTCGGAATGCAGCTTACTCATCAAGCTTCTTATTTGTGATTTCATAAATCGCTTGATGAGTAAGATCTGTTTGCACCAATGTTACTTTGATTTTGAGCGAAACTTCAAACTCTCTCTATCTCGTTTTAAAACCGAAAAAAAAGACAGAGTTTTAAGCCTCACTTAAAATTAAAGTAATGTCAGTGTAATTGGGCCTCAGCTGCATTCCGAAACCCACCGAAAAAAAAAACGTATTGCGACTTTTCTATGATCGGCTGTACATTAAATTCAATTTCAATAAATTATTAAACATATTATTGCGCATGTTCTGACGCTTGACGTTGCCATGTAAAAGCACCTTTAATAGTAAGGAGTTTCGCAATACCATGCGCATGCGCAGTTCGACTTTTGATTAAATAATATAACTTTAGCTTTTACCGTATTTGAATACACGGTACTACAAAACTCCCTAATAGGGAACATCACTAATTAGTAATTACTATTAATGCTTCTAATTGGTTATTGCGAAGCATTGCGACTAGAGTACTAGAAACGTAGGTATTCCACTATTTTTATTCCTTTTCCGTTCCTTGTTCTGTCCGGATTCATCACTAAGCTGTAACGAGTTATGATCATTACAGTTTATGATTTATATTTGCTGCTTGAAATTGATTTTATTGTTATACTCTTTTCATTCCATTTTTCTCAAACTCAATTGAATATCTATCGTAATATTAGTGCAGGACCTGAAGAGTATCTAATATTCAGGTTATTTCTATAAGATGCCAAATATGTCAATTTGAAGAAAAGGATTGAAATTTCTCATCTGCGAAGAAAGGTGATGTTTATTCACAAGTCATGTATTTATTTTATAGCAATACAGCAAGTTGTCAACGAATATTATCCGCAGGAAATTTAAATAATCGAATACTTTTTTCTGATCTATTGATACAGTTTACCGCATACAAGGCATACCATAACATAACAAGGCATTTTATAAATTTTTTTGCCTTCATTAATATATATTTCAATTTTTTTATATCTTTCTTTTCATCTCTTAGTCTTATTAGTAAAATTTCGAAGTGCGGAAATATATAAATACAAAGCTACAAGTTTTCCAACAGTTTAAAAGTTATAACCTATAACCCGTAACGATCATAACCTTCTCAGCTCAGCGACGGAGTGGGAACAAAGCAAGGAATGAGGAAAGGAGTAAAAATGGCGGATATGCAAAAACTCACGTTTAATGCATGATCTACAATGGATAGTAGCAATATGAATTAAGGAGTGAATGTGAGAAAAATAATCAATTATGATTGGTCGATTTCTATGCTTACTCCTTAATCAACTACTGCTATTGCCCATTGTAGAATGGGCTTTATAGTGTCTTAATTGCGACTGGCGACGGTGTTTGAAACTTATTGCAGATCACGCTTAACGATAGCGACAATTGTCGATAAAACAGAGTTTAAAGAATCCTGCAGCTGGTTTCTATTCTTCATAGTCCTCATGTTGGCAATCGTAATGATTGAGTCGACCATTAATTAGCGTCGCAATTGAAATTGATGAAAAAGATCCTAATTTTTGTATTTACAATTATTTTTTTCTCTTTTAGATTCGAAAATTTTTCTTCAAGAATAAAGAAAAAATAAAGCCCGAATTCCGACGAAATCTTTACGATAAAATGCGATACATCGAAATATCTTTATAAGATTTGCTACGTATCAACTATATGAATGCATGTAGTACACTGAGAATTATCTAGCAAACTCGAATTACATAATTTAGATATTTTTTTTTTATTTGTCAACATCAAAGTTTATTATAAAATTTTAGTGATACATTTATGCATTTTAATGACATTTATTGATGAAGATTTATTTTACATTGTACACAGCATTGTAAAATTCTTAAGATACAATTATATAAATAGTATGTAACATTCAATTATATTGCTTTCTTTTTTATTCTTTGACAAATATATTATGTAAATTTCAGGTAAAACATTAAATGGATTAAAATTTTTTTCTATCAGAATACGTATTTTAAATAGCGAATACTTTTTTTGGATTTAATTGGATTCAATTTAATTAGATTCAATTGGATGCAATTGGATTGAAAAACTACATTTCCTATTCAAAATTTTAAATTGAATAGTATTTACAATGTGTGTATTTTGAAAAAGCTAATATTATTTTTAGATTGAAAGGCATAAAGATAAGACTCCATGCAATTCTTAAATGAATAAAAATGCATTCTGGATTGAAAAGCATTCATTTTAACATTTGTGAATCAATTTCTGAAAATCTGAATCCATTTCAATCCATTTTTGTTTGCTAGGCATAATAGCCACATTCAAGAAAATGTTTATTTTACATTTGTTAGAAGTTTTCTTTGCTAAGGATTATACTTTTAGATCTAAAGAAATAAATGTTTTATCTCAGCAAAGAAAACTTTTAATAATCGCAAAATAAATGTTTTGCTGAATGCATCACGATAATATCAAAATGGGAAGACTCCGATTGTATACATTGCATATCACACACATGCATCGCTAATTGGCTAATTAAAAATAAAATATTCTCATTGGTAAAGCAGTGAAAAATTATTAGACTTCAGTTGAT